CTGCCAAGCACAGAAGTGCTGTATGTCATTTGCTCTTTCTCAGCTTTGACAGGTGCCACACTGCGACTGTTCCTGTGACGGAGTGAGAAAGCAGCACACACCACCACAAACTTGAGATCCTGAACAGAGCTGATGGAGTGTGCACCTCCTCCCTGGAAAGGCCAGCCTGCTTGGGAATGTTGCAGAGGGAATAAAAACAGGTAAAAAGAAAACACTTAAGCCTTGGTTTCATTATTTGGGAATCTTTAAAGATATTTTTAAACAAACAAAGTAGTTACAGGTTTAATTAGGAATTTAATCTTTTTTTCATTCTCATTCCAATTAATATATCTTGGTGTTGATAAAATGAAACATTTCACACATGAAAGGGGAAGTGAGTTTTAGTGTTTTCTTATCTAAAACCATTTTACTACTTTACTCCTTGCATATGTATATAGAGAAAGAAAAGAATACCATAAATAAGTATGAAAATAAGCATACTTCTCTGGAAGCTGGAAAAATAGTTTAAAACTTTTGTGCTCAAAATTCAAGTCTGGATCTATGGCAACTAAATATTACATAATAGATAAATAAGTTATATATTATATATAAAGACCAAAAAGTGCATAACTGCAACTAAATATTAATCAGTTGATTGTTTTTTTTTAAATAAGAAATTATCACTGGGCCTAGGATTTGACAGGAGCTTAATAAATATTAAATGAACAAAGAATACAACTCTAAATAATATTATGTACATTTTATTGTCCACCAGCTATGTGCTAAGCACACAGAACTTTTGTGCACTTCAATCCTAATAATCCTTAAAAGTACAGTTTACTCCCACTACATAGACTGTACTTCAATCCAAAAGCATTATTGGAATCTATAAAGGGATCTTATTGGAAAACATTCAGGAATAGGTATTTTTCTAACATAAACAGCACTACTTTATAAACTTCATAAATTGAAGCATATTGCAATTTTATTACAGCAACAATTTCACCGGAGTGAAAACCATCAGAAATTATGTTATTCTAAGCAACTGTCCTTGATAAGAACCTCCATGCTAAAGGCAGAGTTATTTGACAATTCTCAGCACTGGATTAAGTTTTTTGATAGTTCCTTCCTAATTCCCTTTATTGGATCCTCCTCAGACCTCTTAGTGACCTGTAGCTCAGTACTTTACCCTATTCTCAACTTACACTCACCCCTTTGATTACTGGCTTTCAAAATTTGATCACGCCACTCAATAAGAAATCAACCTTATAATGAAAGTCATTATACACTGAATAATACTGAAACAAAAGAATCACCAAGAAATATCCTACCACATGAGATATAACTGACAGTTCACTCTGCTTTTTCTTTCTTCTTCTTCTTCTCCAGGGTTGTTTCATTGTTTTTAATGTTGGTTAGTACTCACTAAAGTGACTCCATGACCTATGGGCCACAACTTACAACGGCACTACCCGAGGTGATTTACAGTGCCATAGGGTTAAATATCATCTAAGACTCCTATACATGTATCCTACTTTACATCTTCACTTGGACATTTTTCTAAACCTGTTCCTCTTTCCTCAAGTAGTCACCATTCTTGATAAAACAGCAATACCATTTACTCAGATGCTTGGGCCCATAATTCTGAAGTCTCACTCAACTCCTTTTTTTCTCTCTCTTACCCTATTTCTACCTTTGAAATACATGCTAAATCTAATTTCTTAGCACCCCTACCAATAACACTTTAAGTCATCACTAGCTCTTACAAAGACTACTGCAAAAGCCCATTAACTATTTTCCTCCACTCAATACAACTGTCCATTCTGCAACTACAGTCAGGGTGATCCTTTAAAAACATAAATCAGACCATGTCCTCTGTTCACAACCATCCAATGGCTCCCCAGAACATTTAAAATAAAATCCAAATTTCCTATCATGGTCTCTAGGGCCTGATGTGACCCTAGCTGTGCTTCTTTTTTGACCTGATCTTCTACCCCTCTTCCCTCTTGTTCACTTCCCTCCAGCCAGTTCTCCTTGCTCCTTGTTCTGGGAAGACGCCAGCAATGTCCCCACGCTTGAGAATTTTGGTACTTGCTATTCCCTCTGCCTAGAAGGCTCTTCTCCAAGATATTCACATGGCTTGCTCCTTCATTTCACTGAGGTCTCTGAATATTAACTCAGAGCAGTCTATCCTGAGAAAAAGGACTCCCATCACTTCCTAGCCCTTTATTCTGCTTTCTTTTTCTTTACAGCACTTTTTTTTTCAGCTGTTATTCTAGATGTTTATTGGAATTATTAGGTCAATTATTTGAGAAACCCATACACTCATTCAACAAATATTTATTGAGTTTGCTACTATGTGCGAGGAATACAGCACTTATTACCTCACATATCTCCAATGCTGAAGAGTACTCAAATTTTAGTTCAAGGAATGTTTAGTTCAAGCCTTAAATTATGCTTTATACTTCCAAACTTCTCAGGGAAAATAAGGGATCTGTGAATTGAAAAGATTTTCTCCAACCAAATATTCAAAAAATCTGTTTGTTACTGAGGCTGAAAGCTGGGGAGTCACAAAATGCTGGAATATAAATGTGACACCCTAAGTCCACTTGAATATTAACTGCTTATATTGTACAGAATAAATAGTTCAAAGCAGTTTACAAATACGAAAAAATCACAAACTCTTATTTTTCTTAAAGATTCAAATTTAAATTTAAATGCATTAAAATTCCCCACTACATCAAATGTTCAACATTATGAATATTAGAACTTAGCTTGTGTTTTATACATAACAATAACAGTATTTGGTTGCAAATCTCACTACTTTCTTTCAATAATATAGATAAACAAAGAAAAGCCTGCCTCTACAGAGTTAGATAGCAGCTTATTACGGTAGATAGTAAAGTTTAAAAAAGGAAAGAAAAAACTGAGCCATTTCAGTGCTCACTACATTACGTAATGTGAGGACACATATCGTTAAGTCCTAGAGGACAAAATCCTATGATTAAAATTAGCTGCTTATCTGGCCAAGAAGTGAAAAAAAAAAAAAAAAGTTTAAAAAAGCTTACTGTAACCTTAGCCATAAGGGAAGTGTGTCCTCTCTGGAGAATCAGGGAATCATCTGTTGCCACAGAATCATAATGCTTGCAGCTAAGCCTTACCTCAAAATTGATAGGGATCCACAGCATGAAATGCTAACATGTTAGAAACATTGGCAAGCCTGAAATAAAATTACTGAATACCCACAGCAACCAATACCTGTGCTTATTATGAACTAAATGGTTTAAATCCTTGTTTTCCAAGTACTAATCATAACAGAATTCAGTAGGCTACTTTAAAAACTTGAAGATAAAAACAACATATGCTAAGGAACTGTGTATACTACAGATATTTTAGTTGACTGGCCTCAAAATTTGTTAAGTTTCAAGGTCTGCTAAATTGTTGCTGTTACCCACTTGCATACTCAGTCTTTATTCTTATTTCAAATCACAGGTGATATAAAAGCTACAAAGTAAACACAGGTTAAAACAAAAATAAAAACAACCCCCCCAAGACCCTTGATGGGCCTTCTACTACAGAAGTTAAAGTTTGAGCTTTGTTTAAAGTAGGCAAACATGTAACAGAAGTGTAAAAAAATAAAAGAATTGATAAAATAAATGTCAAATCTCACTGAGTTTTTCAGATTTATTTTTGAAGTTAGGATAGGACTCTTAAAACAATGCCTTCAGGTATAACTCAAACATAATTTCAAATAATAAGTATGCTTAAGGCAATCCTTTCAGTAGTATATATTCCCCACCAGGCAGCTGAAAAGTCACATAGCTTAATGTTTGATTTATTAAATATGATAGCAAATCACTCAGTTGTATTTATAACAAAGAATTTATTTTCACAATAGTTAAGTGACCATGGTTAAAGTTTAAATTGTCACCACTAGTTTTTGCCAGCTTTTGCATTTTCTCCTTTAAACACTGTTTCTAGATAAGCTTAGAAAAAAGTAGTACTCTATCTTCTCTTACCAATAATTTAGCAGAAGACATATTATTAAATGCTGGCATTTTCTTGATATTCAAGAACTTATGACAAGGAATGGGATCATGGCATTAGGGGATTATGACGTTAAGAATAAAGAGGGGGAGTGGGGGAACAAGTCACCTAATCCCAAACCAGGTAGAGAAAGTACTCGTATCGGTAAACGTTTTGGAAGTCAAAGCAATTTTCATGTAAGTTAAACTCTAACTTTCTATAGAAGTTTAAAACCAAAGTGAAACACTGCTTTGATGGTGTAACAGAAGCAAATGGCCCAAAATGAAGCAAGTTCATTAGAGTAACTGTTAGGTAGTATTCACATACAATTGCTTTCTCCAGTGAGGAAGGGCTGGAATAAAAATCTAAGTGGAAAAAAAAAAGTTAAAGCGCGATCCAAGAGGTCTTAAAACCACACCTAGGAGCAAATGGCAAACGACCCCCACAGACTGCTGCAACTGGAAGCTGCTCCATGCCCCCATCAATAGAGGAAGCCACGGGGACTGGTCCTGGAAAAACTGAGAAGGGGCCCGGACCCCTCCACCCTTCCCGCCCTTCCCAACATCCTCAACCCTGTTTCCCCAGATGCTAAGAGGCGGCTTTACGGCGTCTCGGGGACTGCGGAGCCGGCGGCCCGAGCGCCCTCCTTACCTGGTCGCAGAGGCGCGGCCAGGCAGGGAGGGTGCGTGAGCGTGTGGGTGACACGGACCGCTAGCGCATTCCCGCCCCGCCCGAGCCGGGTTTCCCGAGGCCGCTTCAGAAAGTCTTCGCTCGCGGGCCACACGCAGCCAACGAAGCTGGGAAAGAAACAACGAAGATCGCACCAGTGAAGCAGCAGCCCCCGCAATCATTCATAATCCGGCGGACCGGAAGGAGTGGGTTACGTCACTTCCTACCGTCGCACAGCCAATACGTTCCCCGGTCGACCCTGCTGCGGGAACCTTTGTTTTTCCGCTCTCGGAGCCGGCTGCTGCCGGGAGGGTTCGTGAGGCCACCGGGAACTGACGGGGCAGCGGGGCGGAGCGGTGAGTTGTTACCAGCTCACCGGCTCCCATTCGACTCTGGGAGGCTCAAGACTTTTGCGAGGGGCGAGGTCGGAGAGTAGTTCCGTGCGGTCTTAGTTTCCTCGCTCCTTGTGGGGACACCTCGTAATTTGCAGGCGGTCGAGTGCCCAGGATGACTGCTCTCCCCTTAAGTGAGGGTAGTGCTTCCTCGGAGGTTGTGGCGGGCGGGGGTACGCGGACCGAGGGCACAGCCCCAGGGACTAGGTCCTTGGAACTCTGTCTCCGACCTTCCTCGGAAGGTTTTGGCGACTTCTCTCGACAGCTCCCTCTGTCGGCCTCTCACCTTCTCTCGCGCTCACTTGTCAAGGACCTTCCCCCGTGCTAGGCCTTGGGTGTGTTATGACTTTGATCAAAAAAGATTGGCAGTCCTTGTCTGAGTGTCTCTGGTCGCTCTTCAGATTCACTATCACTTGGTTGGTTTGGAATCAGGGTGTTTCCGCTTCCCTTATGTTTCCGGACGTATGCCTAAGGTTTCAGTGTAATCCAGGACCAAGAACTCAGTGAGGGAATGAAAAGGGCAGCATCTTTAAAAGGTTTATTAGAAGGGGTTGCAAGAGCTTGCAAAGACATAAAGGGCAAAGCTTTGTAGAGCCGTTATGTGATGGCAATATTGCACTCTGCGTGAACAGGGTCAGTTTCCTTCCTCTCGTTCACGTGCAGATGATCAACTTTAGACTTCTTTTAAGATTCGCATGTAGAGTGGGAAATGAGATCTAGAGGAAAGAATATATTTATATATGAGTACCCAATTTGGGTTGGAAAAATCACAGAAGCCCTAGAAAGTGGCATTTAAACGAAACCTAGTTCATTCACTCTACAGATACTTTTGAGAATCTGTGAAGTTCCAAGCGCTAGGTATGTAACAGTAAATAAAACAAGTCCCTGCTTGCATGGAATTTACAGTCTAGTGGGATTAATGAATTTAAATCGGATGAAGGATTGGGAAGAGAGTATTGCAGATAGGAACATTGTACAAGTCCCCAGTCATAAAAGAGGTGTTTTTGTTTTGTATTGCTTTTCTTTTTTTGATGTTTGAGGGTTTGTGGGGCGGGGCAGTCAGGTGGGGATAGCTTAGAATTTCTTTTTTATTGCTTTTTGTGAAGAGATTTTGGACATGATTAGAATTGTGCAGAAGAAGAGGAAAGACCTTTATACTTTGATCTCTAATAATTCCAAAGCCATTATTTTGTGGTACTTTGCAAAATAGCGAAGTGGTAGGCAAAAAAGAGAGCCTCTCCTCTTAAAGTACTCAGAGTGTTATAGAGAATATACAAATGTACCAAAAAAGAGTGTGGTTCAAGGTAGAAAGTTCCAGTACCATGAGAATGCATTTTGAGATAGCCTAGGAGGACAAGATTAGTTGTATAGGGGGTAGAGAAGAACACAGTAGCTGTGAGTAAAGTTCTCATGAGAAGGAGTATTTGAACTGGGACTTGATAGCATTTGGAAATATAAAAATGGGTAAAAAGCTTGTCAGAAAAAATGAGTAGAATTAGCAAGCCCAGCTAATGGCCCTGCACTACGGAAGGTCTGGGGATGAAGAATTAAAGTTTTTGTACCAGTTACTGAATCTTTTTAAATGGTAGGCCAAGAAATTCGGCTTTATTTTAAAGACAGTGGGAAGCCTTAATTTTTGAGGAAAAAAATGAAAAAAGAAAGAAAGGAAAGAAGGAAGAAAAAATGTGTTGCAGGAACATTAATATGGCAACAGTGTTGAAGTCAAGGAGAATAACTAGATTGTTGCTATAGTACAAAAGGCGAATAACGACGTGAATCTGAATAGTAACTGTGGAAATGAAAAACAAGAATAGATGTGAGAAACGTTGCAGAGTCAGAATTCACAGGAAAGGCCTGCTGATTGTTTAGATACAAGGAATTGGGGAGGACTCAGTGAGGCAGAGATTTAGGCCTCAGACCCGATTAATGGAGAGTGTGTCATTTATTGAAAGAAAGTGCAGGGCAGGGAACTTTTGGGGGAAGATATTCATAATCTCAATTTCAATCATAACTGAATTTGAGATACCATTAAGGCAACCAGGTACACATGTTTACTAAGCAGTTGGAAATGTGGGGTTTGAGCTTAATAGAGATTGGAATGGGGATAAACATGTGAAATCTAGTTGAAAACATGATATATATAAGATTACCACGGAAGAAATTGGTAGCAGAACTAAAGAAAATAGACAAGAATAGATACTTGGGCAATACCAAGAGCAATGGGGATGAAAAGATGACCCAGAGAAAGAGTAGCCAGAGATAGAAAAAGAAAACCAGGAAAGCTGAGCATTACTCGTGGAGGAGGAAGATTTTTGAAAGAGAAAGTGAATAACATGTATTCACTTGGCCAGCATTTACTGAGTGCCTGCTATCTGCCAGGCACTCTGCTACCAACAGGGATTACAGCAGTAGGTAAGGTCAGTGCTCGCCCTCATGGAACCTATGTTCTAGTGAGAAAGACAAACCCTGTTTACATAATTAACAGTGTAATAGCTATGACGTGTAAATACAGGATGTTTTAGGACCATATAACAGTAAGACTCCTTATTTTGTTAGGGGAATGTGTGGAAAAAAATTGAGACTAGAAGGGTGAATAAGTTGAGGCAAGGGACGCTTTCTACTAAAGAGCTGGGGTAAGAAAGAGTATATGTTGAAAGATTTGAAATAAGTCATGTGGTTACAACAGAAAGTGGGAATAGCTTGAGATACTAAGTAACATTTAATGAGCAATGTACTCTGTGCCAGGTACTGTTCTAACTGCTTTACATGTATTACCAGATCATGTAGAGCATTAGAGACCTTTTTAAGAATCTTGTTCTTTAACCTTTGGACAGTAAGAAGTGAAAAGGAGTATTTTAAGCAAGTGGATGATATAAAAATATTTGGAAAGGCGCAAGAGTGATTTTGAGTTTTTTTTTTTTTTTTTTTTCCCTTTGGCTGCATTGGGTCTTTGTTGTTGTGCGGGCTTTCTCTAGTTGCAGCGAGCGGGGCTACTCTTCTTTGCAGTGCATGGGCTTCGCATTGTAGTGGCTTCTCTTGTTGTGGAGCACGGGCTGTAGGCACGCGGGCTTCAGTAGTTGTGACACGTGGGCTCAGTAGTTGTGGCTCACGGGCTCTAGAGTGCAGGCTCATGAGCTGTGGTGCAGGGGCCTAGTTGCTCCATGGCATGTGGGACCTTCCTGGACCAGGGCTCGAACCCATGTCCCTGCATTGGCAGGTGGATTCTTAACCACTATGCCTCCAGGGAAGTCCCAATTGTGGGGTTCTGATTAAGCTCTTACAGTGGGCCAGATAATAGCTGCATGATGGTAGCTTGGTCTAGGGTGTGGTAATAAGGATTGAAAATGGTAGATGAATTTGAAATATATATAAGAGGTTTGGTGATTGAATGGGAGGCAGGAGTTGAAGTGGAAGGAGTTAAAGCTAATTCTCAGGTTTCTGGCTGGAGCAATGGGATAAGTATCATTTGAGAAAGGGAAGATTAGGGGAAGAACTGGTGGAGAGAAGATTTTATGAGTGGCTCTGTTAGGGGCATGTTGAATAGGTGGCACCAGTGAGATATCCAAGTCAAGCTGGCAGTTGAATCTTGGAAGAGATGCATGGGCTGGAGAGATAAATATATAATTACTGGCAAAAGGGTATAGGTCACATTGTCTAGGGCAGTAATTCTGAAACGTTTAGAGTAGATCAGAACCATCTGGAAGATTTAATGCAAATTTCTGGGCCTCACTCCCAGAGTGTTTTCATTAGTAGCTATGGTTGTGGAGACCAAGAGTTTGAATTCCTAACAGGTTCTCAGGTGATGCCTATTGCTGCCGATCCAAAGGGGACATTTTGAGAAGAAGGTGTAGAGTGAAAGAAGAGACCCAGAACCTAATCTTGAGCAGCTCATTTTTGATTCCTCAAGATTTTTGAGGAATCTACAAAGAAGACCAAGAAAGAAGTAGGAGGAAAAAATAGTATTTATTATACTTACCTGACTAAGGCTGTGAATACTTTGGTGAAAATATTTCCATGGTATGGTGGGACAAAGGCCAAATTGCAGGAAATGCTATATAAGCAGAAGGAATGAAGAAAAAGTATAAAATGTAGGAGAAGTTTTGCTATAAAATGAAGAAGATAGGCAAGAAGATATTTAAAGGTCAATGAAAAGATGCCAGTAGAAAGAAAGAGGCCGGGGGAGGGAGGTTTGTGAGTGGCGGAGAACACATAGGAATAGTTCATAGCTCAAGGTTTCAGGGGGGAGGAAAAAGTTAGGTTCCAGGCATAGGTGGCATTACATGGAGAGCCACCCTCTTATTTAAAAGGTGGGAAAGAGGAAAGGATTGATGCAGGTATATTTGTAGATGTGTCAGAAAGTTGTTTTAGTTCCTCTCTGACAGTTTCTGTTTTCTCTGTGAAGTAGATGAGGACATCTACTAAGATAGAGAAGCAGTTTCAAGGAAAATGGAGAAAGTGTGACTGGTCTTTGCAGAAAGTGGGAAAGTGAGTTGACCAGAGAAACATGATAGTGTTGCTAAGTTGTGTTGAGTGCCTAGATGGGACTAGTGACTCTGAAGATACAGACTGTATGTATTCCTCTCAGCTGCACTTAGATTTTGGGTGCACGCATGGAGAAGGTAAATAGGATGGATGACTATAAAGTAGATGAAACTGTAGAACTATGGGGCAAGGATGCTTAGAGTGCTAAAAGAGAGTCTTTGAAAGGCTGGACCATGAAGGATAAAAAAGATGGAGAAAAAAGATGATTATTTAGAAGTGGGAATTTCTGTGTTACTTATATACATTTACTGTATATAATTAAGGTATATAAGTCTTAGCTCCTAACGTGAGCTAAGACTTTGTTCCTACCAGCACCACTATTGCCACCTTCCTAGGCCATTGACATTTTTAAAAGTGGTGATTATTATTAGTTTTCTGCATTCTTCTTTTTTTAAAGCAACATCTAGATTTGAAATTAAATCTACATTTAAAGCATTAAATTTCTGTATATATTTGTATCTATATCTACACACACCTAGGACTTTGTTTTCTAGAGTTCTAATCCACAATAAGAAAGCTCTTTTACAATCTATTTTGATCGTGAGTTTTAGAATATACAGGAAAGAACTATATAGAAGTAACATGATTTGGTGTAACTCCTGGAATATATTCTTGAAAATAATAAAGGAGATAAAGTGACAGATTTACACGACAGTTGCTGACCTCTTTAGGACTTCAGTAGCAGGAAATAAATTTCTTTCACTATTCAGTAGTCCCCCCTTATCCATGTGGGATATGTTCCAAGACTCCCAGTGGATGCCTGAAACCATGGATAGTACCAAACCCTATATATACTGTTTTTTTTCCTATACATACATACCTGTGATAAAGTTTTATGAATAAATTATGCACAGTAAGAGATTAACAACAATAATAATAAAATAGAATGATTATAACAACATATTATAATAAAAGTTATGTGAACATGGTCTCCTTAGGTTCTTCAACTCTGCCAGAAATGTGACAGTGGCTTCTTCATTGACAGACACAGCCTCTCCAGTAATTTTTATATTTTTCAGTCTAAACCTATTCTTGAATCTGTGTAACCATCCTTTACTTGCAGTAAATGGCTTGGTGTCACTCATTTCAGGGGATCTCTTGCTGAAGTTTTTGTAGATGTTCAATGCTTTCTGGCCCAACACATTGCTGTCAATTGGAACATACTCTGTTCATGTCCTCCATTCACAAATTTAATGCCTTTTCCATTCTAACTAAGCACTTATGCACTGTGGCTATAACTTTTGCACTCTGAGGTACGACAGCAAAACTAGCACAAATTTTCCTTCTTCACAATTTCACAGATAGAAGACTCGTTCTTACCATAGATTTTAGCAACCTCAGCATACGAGCATACAGTTTTTTTCTTATTAAGTTTAAAACTTTTACTTTTTCACTTAGAGGAAGCACTTTGCAACTTGTTTGGCATATCTGAATAGCATGCATCACTACTCTGGCTCTTCGGGAGCATTAAATAAATAATAATAGGGTGACTTGAACACAAGCACTGCAATACCATGACACTCAATCTAATAACTGAGCTGGCTAGTGACTAACAGATGGAATTCACTGGAGAAAGGGATGATTCACATCCCAAGCAGGATGGACTGAGCTAAGGAGCTGGCATGAGATTTCATCATAGTGCTCAAAATGGCGTGCAATTTAAAACTTATGAATTGCTTATTTCTGGAATTTTCCATTCAGTATTTTCCAACTGCAGGTAACTAAAATATCAGAAAGTGAAACCACAAGTAATGGGGGGACTACTGTATGTGCGTTTGCCGGTAAGAAAGGAGAAGTAATAGAAACTGGAGAAGGCAATAGAAAAGGGGGAGGGAAAGGACGATAGAAAACTAAAATATAAAGGATAAAACACATAACCATGAGTGTTTTATTTTAGGCCCAACTCCTGTTTTTTCTCTTGGACAAGGAAAAGATGTTCGGTCAAGAAGGTGCTAGTAAGGAGAAAGCAGAGGGACCAAGAAAGTGGAGGTCTCTATAAATTCAAAGGATAGACGAATGGGAGTAAAGAAATTTTTTAAAAGAAAGAAAGATTGACTTGGTACCCTGAAGAGGCTCCTGGGTCAAAGCAGTAAAAGAGATAGAGTGATGGAAGATTGTAGTTAAAAAGGAGAATTGACTGTAGTCAAACAGGAGAATACCTGTGTCAAGTTTCAGGTTTCAGTGGCTGAAGACAAAGCTCCTTGAGGTTGAAGATCTAAATAAAACTAGTGCAGGAAGTTGGAGAAGAGCATCAGTATAGATGCTAAAATTACCAAAGATGATGGCAGGGGGAGAGGAAAAGATGAGCTTGGTGCAAATGTTCTGTACATTAGCAACAATGAAGACGCAGGTGTGGATTTCAAGAGACGATGTTGATAAATGGTGATCGTGGAATATTTTTCCAAAAGCAGTAATATGGAGTATTGCTCTTTGCTCTTTTAGTAGGAACAGCTCACTACTTGGGAGAAGGCTGTAAAACAGGTGATGTCTGTGTGGATGAGTGGGGATAATAAAGGTAAAGCGATAAAAGGACTGCTTGAGAAAAAAATGGAAAATATAGGGGAATATGTTGGTAATGAGTAGGGGCTAGAAGACAATGGGCAACTAGCAATGAAGTTAATGCGGAGAGGGGGAAGGGCTGAGCTGAATGAGTGCTGGAGGGATTTTCAAGGGGAAGGTAAATTTGTACCTTAAAGCAGCCATTATGTATATATAATAGGGAAAGGGAAACTGAAAGTTGCTAGAAAGGCTAAAGCATTGGTCTCCAAAGTATTCTCATCATTCATTCCATGAGTAAAAAAATTGAGCTCACTTCCTTATATGTGTATTTAGTTGCCAGTTATATGCATACACTGCTATCACTATGTATATTAATAGTTTTTTAAATAAAAGATTAAAAATAAAAAGAAATTCTAACTTTTTTTTATCTGTATTCCACTGTGGAGACCACTGGCTAGAGGAATATGTCAGTAATTTAGGGCAGGGGTATAAAGTCTGTTCAGTTTTATAATTGCAGGATCATATAAAAAGAACTGACTCCAAATTGGTGTTGATGATGTGATCTGTGGTTTGGTCTCGTAATCTAGGTGCTGACTCTTGTCACCTAATCTGTAATGTAAACCTTTTATCTGTGATTATGGAAATACATAACCATAAATACTTGGCTTCTAATTTTCAGCATAGAAATTTCAAGTAACGGTTTTTCTAGTATATTAAAAGGATTCTTCTAAGTTTCAGCACTTTCAGTACCTCATAATACAGATTGTTAGCTCTTTAGCTAACCAAAATAGGTCAGTAGAAAGACTAGGCTGTGTTCCCTTGTGCACTCAGAAGGAGTGGCAGCTTTACTCCTTTTCATCATGGACATTTTAATGAGGAACTCTTCTCCTCAGAATGTATATGATGACCAGCCTCATGAGTAAATTTAAAACTAAAAAACCCCCCACCTTTCTGTACCTATCATTATATATAGATGATGTATGTAATAATACAATCTTAGGAAGTGAGAGAGGTTGCTTCTCAATTTTTATTAAATTATTACCAATTTATAACTGTTTGAGGTAGATTATTTTTCTTTTAGTATTGGCCTTTAGACCGATTCTCATGGGTGATTGAGTAGAGCACAGAATTTGACAGTAATTTTGTGGCTATCAGATATCTAATACCTTGTTTAAAACTTAAAAAAAAAAAGGCTAGTAAGGTGTGTGTGTGTGTGTTTCCTGTGAGAGTTGGAGAAATATTAGGGAGGAAGTGGATTGGGAAGGAACAAACAAAATCCATTTTCAGGCTGAGCCTTCATATGCCAAGATTCAATCTACAGCAAGTTTTTTTTTTTTTTTTTTTTTTTGGGGTAGCAAGTTTTAATGGCTTTATAACCCCCTTAAAAATGAGAGATTACTGTGGAATTGCTGACAGATCCTTAACTCTAGCAGTGCAAGTTTGTTGCATTATTATTATTAACCTCTGGGATAGAAGACAATTTCAAGCCCTAGAATGTTGATCAAAGGATTGAACACAAAGTATACATTTTTATTTTAATAATTCCTTGCCTGGAGAAATATTTGAAAAAGTAACACCGTAAGTAGAACAACATGATAGCTTTGGTATTAGCTGAAAACAAAACTTTTTAATGTTTTAGAATTTCTAAGTCTTTGACGTATATCTTCACTATTTTTTCAGTTCCTTAGGACACAGAGAATATCATAGGCCCTATGGGAGGTCCATATATTGATATATATGTATATATATGGTTTGGCACTATTTCTCAGACACCTTGCTTCTCAAAAACAGGTTAATGCATGAGATACCACAATCTAAGTGTGATGCAATAAGATTATCATTAGTATGTTTTCTGAGGCACTCAGAATTGGGGCTGAGGACTAAGGAGGCAAAAAAAAGATAGCTGAGGTAAAAGTTTCAGCACTGACCTTTAAAGCTTATTGCTTAATACGTCCTCTAACCATTGTCCTCCAGTGACACCCTTCCCCCAATCTTTTTTTTTCTTTTCTTTTTTTTTTTTTTTGTGAAAATAAGGTTTGAAGGCTTCCCTGGTGGCGCAGTGGTTGAGAGTCCGCCTGACAATGCAGGGGACACGGGTTCATGCCCCGGTCCGGGAATATCTCACATGCTGCGGAGTGGCTGGGCCCGTGAGCCATGGCCTCTGAGCCTGCGCGTCTGGAGCCTGTGCTCCTCAACGGGAGAGAGCCCGCGTACTGCAAAAAAAAAAATAAGGTTTGAGAAGAAGAAATTTTGACATATACTAAACTTGACCTAAACACATCAAGTTCCTGTGTACTGAATTATGTGTATTATTTTAAAATGGTGTTAGGGGACTTCCCTGGTGGCGCAGTGGTTAAGAATCCACCTGCTAGCAGTGGACATGGGTTCGAGCCCCTGGTCCGGGAAGATCCCACATGCCGCAGCGCAACTAAGCCAGCGAGCCACAACTACTGAGCCTGCAAGCCACAACTACTGAAGCCCTCGCGCCTACAGCCCATGCTCTGCAACAAAAGAAGCCACCGCAATGAGAAGCCCACGCACCACAAGGAAGAGTAGCCCCTGCTCAATGCAGCTAGAGAAAGCACGCGCGCAGCAACAAAGACCCAAGGCAGCCAGGTGTTAGGAAGGGGCTCTGTGACGGGGAGGAGCTTATCTGGATTTAAAATTTTGCCAAGGATATGGATACAGAGAAAACTGGTAACATTCTTGCTTCAGGAAAAAAGAACTAGATAATGCCAGTTAGAGAAAAGAAGAAAATTTACTTTTATCAGTAATAACCTTTTGGACAGTTTGAATTTTGTATCAGGTACACAGTATTACCTATTATAAACAAAAGAACAAGAAAAACTTTGACAGATAATTACCCATTGTCTGTAAATTACTTTCCTCTCTTTTTTCACTTCAGGTGTTTGCAATGGCCGCTACTGTGAACTTGGAACTTGATCCCATTTTTTTGAAAGCACTAGGCTTCTTACATTCAAAGAGTAAGGATTCTGCTGAAAAGCTAAAAGCACTACTTGATGAATCTTTGGCTCGGGGCATTGATTCAAGTTACCGTCCATCTCAAAAGGTACCTACCTGGATAAAAAGCTTGGAGGAAGTTTTGTAAAGCCTGTAGTAGAACAGTGTTAACATTTAGAACTCACGAAACAATCTCTCTGCCAAATAATCTTTCCTTGTGGAATGAAGAAATTTATAGTGTTCTTTTTTTCCTTCAAGCTTTCAGAGAACTGTTACACTATATAGAGAAGTTAGCTGGGAGTGGGGGATATTCAGTTCTACTACTTTATTCCTATAGAAACCCACTTAAGATATATTTCAGTTTCTAATTCCTTATGATCAGAGTATTTTTTTAAGCTGCTGAATGAAACCGTAACCTGTGTTATAATTATTCTCTAATGTTTTAGGGGCGAAAAATAAAAGGACAGGGATTTTGCAATGAAGTGAATTAAATATGTATAGGATAATGTAAGGAATAAAGGAGGTATAGATGAAATGTGAGGACTGTGTAGCTACCATCATGATAATAACAAAGTGACCAAGCAGCTTTATGTGAAAAGAATATACATTTTGGAACCAGACAAACCTGTTTTAAATCCCAGCTTACCTCTTACTAGTGTGGTGATAGATAACATATCTTGAACATTTACTGTGTCCTAGGTACTTTTCTCAGTGGTATATGTGTATAATTAATTTTAGTTGTGATAATTATCCTTTGAGATAGGTATTATTTTATTTTACAATAAGGAAATTGAGGTACATAGTAACTTCATTTCACCCAGCCTCTGTTTCTTTATTATTAAAATGAGGATAATAAGAACTACCTTACAAAGTTGTGCAAATTAAAAGAGATAAAGTATGTCAGCCACCTAGTGCAGTGTCTACCTGATACATAATAGACTTTTAGTGAATATTCTCTAATACCTAAGACATTCTTTCAAACCATTCTAAAGCTCTAGCCTTGAAACTTCGTGTCACCCAGGTCTATGAACACCTAGATACCAAACTGAGAAGGAGAGGACAGAACTACATGACTAGCTAGCTCAGTCTAATCCAGAATCTGAAACTCAAGACAGGGCCAAGTCCCAGACTCAGTGTCCAAGCGATCAGTGATATTTTGCTCCCAGCCTTCTTTGAAAGCTGGCTCTAGTATTCTCAAACCTTTTTATTGTCTTTTGAGTAGCAGAGCCATTGTGACTTCATTTCTTCCACCATTCTCATTCTGGTATGTTCAAAGAGCTCAAGCCAACCAAATTAATAAAACTCAACAAAATATACTAACAAATTCATTCTGCTCTGAGTATGGATATAGGCCAAACAGGAAATTCCTATTATTACTAAAGAAGCAGTATTTTGAGATTCTAAAACAGAAGGAATTTCATCTGTTAAAGTACATAAGAAGTTTGTTACAATTAAAAAGCCTCCTGCCCTTAGGTTTCTAACTGGAAATGACTTCTCATGGTCAGTTTAGAGAAAATACTCTGCTAGGTGTTTTTAAAACACAGATTCATTTAATTTTAGTCTTTAACTGAACATTTCCATCTCTAGAATTGTGTGAGAATCACCTAGAAGCAGTGGTGTGCTTATAAACATTTTCAACTTGGGGATAATTCCAAGGAGCTACTATATGCATAAGCTTTCTTTTAACAACAGATAACAAATATATATACATATCAAAGAGTAAAAATAACAAGGATTGCAAGTTTAAAACAGAAGAGAAAGATAAGCCACAGACTGAGAGAAAAGGTTTGCAAATGATGTATCTGATAAAGGACTTGTATCCAGAATCTATGAAGATCTCTTTATACTCAATAATTTAACAAATGCTTTAGCATCGAAGATAAATGTGTGGCAAATAAGCACTTGAAAAAAGTGTTTAACATCATTAGCCATTAGGGAAATGTAAATTAAATCTACAGTGATATGCCACTATATACCTATTAAAATGTCTAAAATTAAAAAGATTAGCCATACCAAGCATTGGTGAGGATATGAGGATGTGAAGGAACTGGGACTCTCATATACTCCTGATGGAAATATAAAATGGTATACCACTTTGGAACATGGTTTGGCAGTTTCATAAAAAGTTAAGCATAAACCTACCATGTGATCCAGACATCCCACTCCTACATGTTTATTCTAGAGAAATGAAAGTATATGTCCATATAAAGATTTGTACTTGAATGTTCATAATATCTGTATTCATAATAGGCCAAACTGGAAACAACCCAAATGTCCATTAATAGGTAAATGAATAAACAAATCATGGTGTATTTGTTCAATGGAGTACTATTCAGCAACAAAAGAAATGAACTTTTGCTACACTCAACAACATTGATGAATCTCAAAATAAATATTGCTGAGTGAAAGAAGCCAGAAAAAAAGAGTATATACTGCATGATTCCATTTATGAAAATTTCTAGGAAATGCAAACTAATCTATAGTTGCAGAAAGCAGGTTTGTGGTTGCCTGAGACTGGGTGGCTTAGTTTTTCTAGGATGTCTACCTCTAAGAGTGATTACAAAGGGCAACCAGGACACTTTGCAAGATGATGGATATGTTCCTTATATTGATTGTCGTGAAACCGTAGAGCGAAACATATCCAGTTTTACACTTTAACTAGGTGCAGTTTGTATATCGGTTATTCCTCATTAAAGTTGTTTAAAGAAGAAGGCAACACATTGGTCACTACATGATGTCTTAATTTTTAACTGATAGTTGTTTAGATTTATGATCTGTTTTTTTTAACAGTATATTAGATAGTCTGAATATTTAATTATGGGTATCTTTTTAATTTCACCTATAGGATGTGGAACCACCCAAAATTTCAAGCACAAAAACTGTTTCCATTAAGCAAGAGCCCAAAACATCATCCACTCTTCCTTCTGGCAATAATAATGGCAAGGTCCTAACAACTGAAAAGGTAAAGAAGGAAGGTGAAAAGAGACCTGCTGATAAAGTAAGATTTTGTTTTACTCTAGTAAATCAGTCAATGAATCAATCAGTTTATAGGCCGGAAAACGTTTTGTGCTTACTTTTTGTATATAATAGTGGGTAAAAGTACATAATAACCACTCAGTAAATATATTTTGATAATTATGGATGTTGGTTTTTTTTTTTTTTTTTTGAAATTAACATTTAGAAACATTTTAAAACCATTTACTGAAGTCGTTGTCCATAAATATTTGAGCTCTAGAAGATGTACTAATTTCATATATAACTCAAGTATTCTAGATGGAACTGTTGTTGAAAAGAAAAGATGGTGAGGAAAGAATACAGATGTAAATGACTAAACATGAAATTTGTTACAGAATGGTGTACCTTAACAGGGTTACAGATAACAGATACAGATAACTCTTGGATTGTCTATTTTGAATGATTTCTGCACATAATTATTAGGATTTTAGCACTTAGTAAAAAATACATTTAAAAAAACTTTAGTAACCCCTGCCCTTAAGGTGGGGTGTTTTCATACTTTTTTCTAAATATTGGTTATTCATAAACTATATTGCATTGTTTTTATATAAATTTAAAAGCACAGAAAACAATGTAATACAGTTTATGAATAGCCAATATTTAGAAAATATATCTCTATTTTCCATATATATATATCTCATATATATCTTTTAGCAACTTTTTCCACTCAGCAATGTGCTTTTGAAATTTACCTATGTTGATACATGTAGATTTGAACATTTCTTTCAGCTAACATGTAGAATATTAATTCTATAAATAAACCAGTTAATCCATTCCCCTGCTGATGAGCAGTTAGCTTATTTCTCCTTTTCCTCTATTACGGTGGGGTTTCAGTGAGCTGCTTTATACATATGTCTTTTCCCACATGGTGGTAGTTTCTATAGGATGTATACCTATAAGTGGATGTAATAGGATGGGTACATCTTCAACATTATTAGACATAGTGGATGTTTGAAGCAAGTATGGCAATGTGTTAAGCCTGAACGACTGGTAGAAGTTCACTATTTACTTCTTTTCAATATATATTAACTGTCACTACTTCATTATTTAAAATTTTAAAATAGCCTTAAAAATAACCTTAGTAGTACTATGGCTTCTCAATTCAAAGCATCCAATGGGGGGTTGGGAGGGCACTGTAAGTAAATCCACTGAACTTCCAGGATTCTTTAATGGATAAAAGAGTACAAAGAGAAATACAGGTACATGCTAAACTGTTCTGATTTACTTACTTCTACCTTGTTGGATTCTTTTAACATACTGATTATGAATTTATTATAAATGTTCTCCAGGTCTTTAGTGTGTACATCTCTCCCTAACTATGTGAAAATATCTGTTGAGTGGACTTGGTCATTGCACACTGTCTATCTTATCTTGTGATAGATGTGATAGATGTCTATCACATCTCTCAGTGATTTAAAGTTTATTCTAACGTGTTATTTTCTGATTGGGTGCTTTTTATAGATGAAATCAGACATCACTGAAGGAGTTGATATTCCAAAGAAACCTAGATTGGAGAAACCAGAGACACGGTCCTCCCCCATTACTGTCCAAACCAGCAAGGATTTAGCTATGGCTGACCTTTCCAGCTTTGAGGAGACCAGTGCTGATGATTTTGCCATGGAGATGGGATTGGCCTGTGTTGTTTGTAGGTTAGTTGTACCTTGCCACAGATTCTTTTGTTTCTTTGTAAAGAGCAAACAACTTTAAAAAAAAAAAAAGACCAATTGTTGGGTGTTTTTTTATTTTGTTTTTATAATTTGGAGGTGGGTAGGAGATAAGTAGATCGATAAGTAGATAAACCTCCCATATGGCAATTTAGTGTCTTAAAAATTGTCAAAATTTTGTATTCTTGACAGGCATCTTTAATCAGTTATGTTGTAGTAATATTTTCTGCATTCTTGGCTTCTAGAGGGAAAGCAATTATTGCTTTATTTTTTAGTGAGAAAGAGTCTGTTCAGCAGACTTAATTATTTTCATCTTTCTTTTTCTTTTTTTTTTTTTTTTTTTTTGCGGGCCTATCACTATTGTGGCCTCTCTCGTTGCAGAGCACAGGCTCCCGACCCGCAGG